AAATTCTGTCCTCAAATTCATTGATTCTATTCTGTCATTTCCATGGTTTAACAGTGTGGTCCGTCCATACCATGGAATATACTACGCAATCAAAAGGGACAAGCTATTGATACATGTAACTTGGCTGGATCTCAAGGGCATTACAATGAATGAAAACCCAATTTCAAAAGATTTCATATTGCCCAGCCAGTGTGGTTCAGTGGTTGGGCACCAACCCATAAACGAGAAGGTCATGGTTCGATTCCGGGTCAGGCCACATGCCCGGGTTGCAGGCTCGATCCCCAGTAAGGGGCATGCAGGAAGCAGCTGATGGATGTTTCTCTCTCATTAATGTTTCCATCTCTCCCTCTCCTTCCTCTCTCTAAAAAAATCAGTAACATATTCTTTTTAAAATAGCTCAACAAGGCCCTGACCCGTTTGGCTCAGTGGATAAAGCATCAGCCTGCGGACTAAAGGGTCCCAGGTTCAATTCCGGTCGGGGGCATGTACCTTGGTTGCGGGCACATCCCCAGTAGGAATTATGCAGGAGGCCGCTGATCAATGTTTCTCTCTCATCTATGTTTCTAACTCTCTGTCCCTCTCCCTTCCTCTCTGTAAAAAAAATCAATAAAACATATATTTTTAAAAAATAGCTCAAAAAGTTTAACTGAAAAATAAAAATAGTGATTAAAGTAGCAAACAACCCTTTGAATACATCCTAGATGTAAACAAGAACATGGATTTCAGAGAAAACATAGAATATGACTCTGTGTTGGGACAAGTGAATCTGTAAATGTAACCATGTGGAGTGTGTAACTGAAATGATTATAAATAGGAGGCATGATGATAAATACCTGAATCAGATTTCACTGGACAAGTTATCCACTTGCACCTATTCACCAGAGTGTAGTTTACAAAATTTTGTCAAATCATGGTTATTATCATTTCTAACAATACATGGCCTCTCTGGAAATCAATCAAGTGCTTTTAATATCAAGTGAAAAACACTATCAGTACAAAGCAGTTTAACGATGAAGAAGAAACAGTATTTAATGTTGAGATTAGGTTATCAGGAGTTCTTAAGAACGTACTGTGTTGTAAATCGACGAGTATTTAAGTCTTCTCAAAACCTGATGATTTTCTTGTCAGAGAAAGGAACAGATGACATTATTACTGGGCATATCTTTAAAAGCAGAGCCAACTGCTGCAACAGAACAAAAGGGGATTGAGAATCCAATTATTGTTCTTTCAGCTTCTGAGAAATGTGCTCATTTTTTGCCCACTGGACAAAATGCTGAATGAGGTCTTCAGGGGGAAATCTCTCCATAATTTATTATTCATGTTTGAATAAAAAATACCAAAGAATTTTATAATATTAAAATATCAAGGCTATCAAGAGACTATGGACAGGAACACCAATTCGTGTTCAATAACCACCAAACACTTGCTTATAGTCTCAATGACCTGTAATAATGAGTTTGGAATTTTCCTACTTAACAGGCAAAGATTAATAAAAGAGTAAAAATTAAAATAGACCAGACATGGAACTTCACCTACCCTTTGCTATACATCATCAAGCTAAATATAAGGACACCTTGGTGAAAGATATGGTCTTGGTTGATGACTGATGTGATTGATTTAAACACTTCTGTTAATAGCGTTTTTATAAAAGATTTTTTAAATTTATTATTGATTTTCAGAGAGAGAGGAAGAGAGATGGAGGGAGAGAGAAACATCAATGTGACAGCAAAACATTTATCAGCTGCCCCCTGCATGCCCCCTACTAGGGACAGAGCCCGCAACCCAGGCATGGTAATCGAACTGGCAACCTTTAGGTGCACGGGATGACGCCCAACCAAGCCACACCATCCAGGGCTGTTAGTGATTTTTTAAAAATTAAAATTGGTGCTTTGTGTTTGTGGGGAATATCTGTTATGCAGTTGGTAGATAATAAAAGACTGAGGAGACCTGGGCTTACAGACTCCTAGGCACACTGTTGGGGACCCACTGGACTCTGGCTCCTGCCTGCTCCCCAGCCTCAATTTTCAGCCCCAGCCCAAGCTCCACCTGCAAGAAACCACATACCGTGCCCCCAAATGCCATGCTTGCTGGTCCATCCTTGGCTTAGCCCTGCCCATCCTCGCCTTCCCGCTCTTCCCCACCTGAAGAACACTCACTCTTAAACTCGGCCAAAGCAGCCATCCCTCTGCAATCTCCGCCCTCAGTGGGTTTACTCCGTCCTGCCCTGGAGGCCAGCAGCACACTGTAGTGTAAGCATTTACGCAAACTCCTAAATTCCTACCAGAGTCTACACTCCAGCAGGGCAGAGACCACATTCTCTATAGTCACCTTTGTCCAAGTGCTCATCTCATGGCAAGTACTTGATGAATTAAATCAGACCTTAGGTTTATGGAGCAATATCAATTCAGTGATGCTGTGGTGAAACGATTGTGCCTGTATTATGGAATGCCAATAGGGTAGATGTATTTCTCATTCTGATAAGGACAGAAACTTTTAAGAAGAATGAGGAAACCAAGGTGTGTGTTTCCTCCCCTGGGGTCTACCCTTTGAGTGTGTGTATAAGACCCTACTGCCAGCTCCGACTCTGAGGAAGGTCTGAAACAGTGAGCCATAAAGTAGAGGGTGTTATTTATAACCCTGTTTTCTGAACTATTTTTCCACCACTAGCAAAATCAATCTTCTATGAAATTGTTCTGTTGCATAGAGACCATCAATGAGCTTCCTGACCCGTCAGCATTGGCGTTCTAACAAAATGAATGACTCCTGTCTTTCCCTCAAGTTCCTGCTGCATTAAGCCACTGAAAAGGAACCAGCTTTTTGCTAAATCCTGCCAGCCACCTAGGGAATCACTGAAAAAAGGAGAGCAACTCCCAAGTATGTGAACTCGGCATCTTCAGATAGACTGCATTTTTATATCAGATAAAATTTTTAAAAACTTAAAGCAACATTGAGTCTATCTATGTGGCATTACCAAGGAAAGCATTACATCACTTTTGTTTTATGAGGGCTTGAGGACAGGGGAACAAAATCCAGCTGGTAGGTTACCCGGAAGGCTCACCCCTTCCACCATTCTTTTTATTATTTATTGTTTTTGTTGTTTAAGAGAGGGAGAGAGAGAGAGAAACATCAATGTGAGAGTGAAACATCAATCAGCTGCCTCCTGTATGCCCCTTACTGGGGGTCAAACCCGAAACCTGGGTATGTACCCTGACCAAGAAGCGAACCTACAACCTTTCCATGCATGGAATGATGCCAAAAAACTGAGCCACACTGGCCAGGGCTCTTCCCACGCAACTTCTTGTTTCTGGTGCTCAAATAAGGCTGCTAGCCCTGTTTTCTTTGCCAAGCTCAAGAGTACTTTGGAACAGCTTGTATTATTTTTTTAAACAAACAAACAAACAAACAAAAAAGGACTTAGGAGCTTGTAATAATCTATTCTGAGACAAAGAGAACTCTGCCCACAGCCAGCACCCAGACCAATGTGTTTCCAAGAGTGAATTTTTTTAAATATTAGATTTTTGTTCCTATAACTCAGAAATTCAAAAGGAATACATATATTGAAAGAAGACATTATGTAATGTTTTAAGCTTTAAAGTTCTTAATACCCGTGATTAAGGTTTTTCAGTATAGAAGGCGAGGTTCCTGTAACGATACACACATCTAATTGTTGATGGGGTCAGACAGGGACAGATCTTTACATCAGCCTGAACGGCAGGGAACGTGGAAGGACTGTTCTCTGCAAATGGTATGACGTCACTGAGAAACACAACAGACCCTTTCCTCAGTAAATTAGTCAACCTGCTCTGTGATCACCATGACAGCAGCGTCCATACATAGGGAAAGGCAAAGAGTGAACAAATTCCGATTTCCTTGGTTGCCTCCTTTACAGCCCCCAGTGTGCGTGCTGCACCTCGTAACTCAGGTCACTCTACGCAGGCAATGGCGTCTGACCTCAGATCAGAGCCCAGAGTTAAAGCTCTGCTCTCACTGAAAAGGACCTAGGCTTTTCTTTTTAAAAAATTTTTTTTTAAATGTTTTTAATTGATTTTTAGAGCAAGAGGAAGGGAGAGGGAAAGAGAGAAAGATCGATGTGAGAGAGAAATATTGATCAGTTGTCTCCTGCATGCACCAGAAATGAACCCACAAGCTGGGTATGTGCCCTGACTGGGAATCGAACCGATGACCTTTTGGTCCATGAGCCACACCAGCCAGGGAAAGGACCGAGGCTTTTCTAACCCAGTAACACACGGGAAAAAGTATAAACATCCAAAACAGTGTTTTAAAAATGTTTTGACCATAAGCTTCAGTAAAAAATGCATTTACATTGTGATCTACGACTACACATGTGCAGTGTGTGCATATACACTTGTAAATAAGTTACACAAAACAATATATACCCTAACTAGTGTGGTAATTCTGATCATTTTTCTTCTACTCTATTTCATTTTTTAATGCTGTTTTTTATCCACTTAATTGATGTCACAGTCCATTAATGAGTCCTGACCTGTAGTTTAAAACACAATGATGTACAACACATGTAGCTATATTTCTTAAGCTAATCAATTTGAAATGGTAGAATTCTAAGAAACAAATTTCAGTAGCAATATAAAAAAGATTTCTTTTTCCTGCACATACGAAATGCGAAGCGTTGAAAATGGTTCTGAAGAACTGAGTCATAACCGGTCGGAACACAGATAAACGTGGGGCAAAGTGTGCGAAGGAGAGTGAAGGCACTTACCGGAGCTCAGCCCGCCTGCACGCGGCAATGGAGACTGTTACCTCGGTGCTGCGATGCCGCCTCATTTTCCATTTGCTGGAAGAAATGATTAAAAGACGCTTGGGGTGGGGAAGAACCTTAAATGTCAGGATCTACTTTCTCCTGCCAGATGACAAAAGTACATCAGCATTTCTGTTGAAAATCTGAGCACTGACTTTGTTCCTATCCAAGAGTTAACCTCAATTAGAAGTTGGGTAAAAAATAAAGATTCACTAGGTCATTGTTCAACTTTCTCTGTCTCTTTTTTTGAAACAATTACTAGAATTTTATTAGCCACGGGAAGCAACTGGAAGAGAAATAACAAACAAAAAATACATCTTAGGAATCCTTAAGTACATCATATATTCATAATTTAAGTATTATATTTTAAACCACTACCCACCAGTTCATGAAATGTACCCACTATGTCAGAGGTCATTGCCAACTAAATTCCTGCCCACTGTCCTTTGGCTCAAAAGACTGTCCCTTGCGTCTGACCTTGGCTCTGTGAAGGCATCAGAAAGGACGCTGCCCGGGGGTTAAGGCTAACACCTTAAAAGTCAACACGGCTCTGGAGGCAGGTGCTTGTCTCCCAGAAAACTTCCTCTTGGCCACACAGCTCTGCACGCCTGCCCTCACCCACCTCGAGCAACATCCATGCCACCAGCGGCCAAACGGAAGAGAGGGCCAGACTCCCGCAGTGGTGCTGCGCGGTCCGGGAGGGGCACACCCCCGTCTAGGGAGGAATGGGTGCTCAGCCTCGCTCCTGGCAGAGAGCTTGTCGCCGGCACTCATGGGGTCCTCTGGGATGTCCGACAATTCCCACGGTCTGTGAGTTCAGAAAGTGCTTTCAAGCAGGCAGTGACACCCACACCCGGTGGGACACACCTCCTGGGTCCGGAACCACTCCATCATGTGGCTGGTGTGTCCCCCGTGCCCGCAGGTCAGGCAGAAATTGGACGATCCCCGAACTGCCACGTGGCAGATGGCACACTGGAACGTGAAGCCCTTGCAGATGGTGCACTGCGTGCCGCGGACCTCGCTCCGGCAGTGGCTGCAGTACACGCCGAACTCTGGAAACGGTCAGAGATGGCCAGAACGAGAGACAGCGTCAGTTCAGTTCTGCGAAAGCAAACTGGGCACTGTGAGCTAAGGACGATGCGTACATCTTAGGTCTCTGTAGGAGCCTATCAGACCAATGATTTCAATTTTCTTTTTCCCCCTCTTAATATGTTTTTAAATTGATCTTAAAGAAAAAGGATGGGAGAGGGAGAGAGAGAAACATTGATAAGAGATAATCATCAACCAGCTGTCTCCTGCAGGCCCCCTACTGGGGACCGAACTCGAAACCCGGGCATGTGCCCTGACGGGGAATCGAACCAGTGACCTCTTGGTGCACAGGACGATGCCCAACAACTGAGCCACACTGGCCAGGGCTAGGCCAGTGATTTTCCATCTTTACGATCGCAGTGTTATAAAGAGGAGCCGCTGTCACTCAGGTGGCAGGGTGTGGGCCGAGGGGCAGCAGGTGCCTGGCTCTCGCAGGTCCTGGTCCAACCCCCGGTGCCTGTAGCTGTGGTGGCTGTTGTGTCTCATTCCCCTCCCCACCTCCAACAGTTGCAGGGCCTGACACACAGATTAATAAACTGATTCTTGGCACAATCCTTGGTGCCTCCAAAATCCACGCCACCAACCCTCTGCACACCTGACCTCTCAGGTGGCTGCCCTCTCTCCTCTAGTCTACCACCATCACTTCCACTTTCGTTCCATCTGCCCCCTCTAGCTGCAATTTCCCCTGAGGTCAGCCTGAACGACAGTCCAAATTTATAATCACTTTGTGGCAAATATCCTCAGCTCCTTTGCCTTCTCTCCCTCCACGGCACCACCTCAGGCCTGGCTGAGCCCGATCAGCTGCCCACTCCACGTCTGCCCCGAGCGGTCCTGCGAGAAGGCCACCATCATGATGTGTCTGTGCAGGGCTCTGCTTCGGTTTCTCTTCCACTCCCCAGGTGGCTACTTCACACCTCGCCACATTCCAAAAACGCCTCCCCCACACCTCTGCTCCCCTGTCACCTGGGCCTCTTCTCTCACTTCCCTGAGAAAACAAAGCCCCTCATCCCTCTGCCAGCAAGTCCTCCAGTCTCCCAGGGTCGTCCCCTTGTCCTGCTTCCTACAACAGAGAAGGGACCTTTCTTCCACCACAGCCAGTTCCTCTGCTTCCTGACCACCGGCAGTCATAAAAAGCACCAATAAATAACCTTTAAAAACACGGTAATTTCGGAGAAAATTTTATGGTAGTCCTAGTTAGATAAATTGTGAGCCAAGTTAGACTGGTTTGATAATTGCTCTGGGCCATCGTTAATCTCTCCTTGATATACTTTCATGTATTTAGATGCTCTGAAAAATATATTGCCCAAAGAGCCTTTTGTGTCTTTGCATTTCTTCAAGTACACACACCAAAATAATCCATGTTAAAATAATCTGTGTTATTCAGTATCTACAGCTATGTATTATTTGTTCTACTTCTTTTTTAAATTGAAAGTAGATACACATGCACAACACTATTACCAAAACCAGCATTCCCTTCCACCCCCAACACTCCTGAGGAAAATCCTTCCAACCCATTTCACTGTTTCTTTTGTTTTTACCTCCCTATCTCTAAACACCACTGGTTATGAAGCTATTTCTTAATGTTCATATTTAAGCATTACCTATGACCTTCCGCGGTGGGAGCTCTCTTTCACTCCCCAGTCTCCCCAACCACACGCACACACCACCTGTCCCTCATCTTTCCCAGGCAGTTCCATTACCATTTGCTTGGATCACTATTGTTTTTACATGATTTATCTAGGTGAACATTATTCAAGTCATGACTTTTCCTTCTTCACATTTTGCTTCTCCTGGAGTTAGTAAGTGTCTTGTTTCGTTCATTTGCTTAGTTTGCTAAGTACTTATCAATAATTCATCTCTACTCTCTCCCTTAAATATCTGAATCTTCTATAAATATACTGAACTACACTAGATATTTTTTTCAGTTTTCTCTTCTTGGAGACAACGCTCCGGAAGCTCCAACCTGGATTGGTCTCCCCCGGTCCGCCACGACCATCTCCCTCCACTGTCTTTCCGACTTCCTGGTTTCCTGGACTGAATCTATCCCTCCTCCTTAGATTGGCTGAACGTTCATTCTCACACTTGACTGCTAACTTGGGTACAGAATCCGAGGTTAGAAATCATGTTCTTGAGACTTCTGAAGGTACTGCTGCAGTATCATCGAGTTTCCAGTATCTAGTTCACTGCTCCTGAAGTGTCCTTGCACGTAACCTGTTTTCTCTCTCTGGAAGCTCCAGGGGTCTTCTCTTTATCCAGCCTTTCTTCATTCATTATGCGAGGTGCTTGGCAGGCCCTCTCAATCTGGAAATGCATTTACCTTCTCTGAAGAATGAACTTCCAGTTTTCTGCTGGAGTAAAGCAGGGACCTGGGACCCTACAAAAGCCACAAAACAATCCTCCAGTTTTTAATTTCCCCTTCGTGCTGCTTCCAGAGGCACCGGGTACACTCATTCCTGAGCCATTTGGAGGTTCTGCCCTGTATCTTACTGTTCTTCTGCCTGCCAGTTTGGCGTTCAGCTTTCTCTGTCCCTATAAAATCTCTACCACTAACCGACCTGCCTCCCAGGTCACAAGTTTTATTGCCAACATGACTTCTTGCATGGTTATGCCTTTTCAGAAAAGCTCCATATAGACTCTTTAAGGAGAGAAGAAATCAACGTGTGTTCAGTACACTCTCTTTGGCAGTCTTCCATTTCACCCTTTAAAAAACAGCTCTTCTCTCAGCTTCTTTTGTACCAGTCTTGCTCACTGGTGTCTCATTCTAAGTCCTTGTTTCTGGTTCTTCCTCCAAGACTCAAGCTCCATGTACCAGTTTCCTCTCACGGCCTGGAGTGGGTGGGCTCTCTCATTTGCTCTCCCATACTCTTCCTGCCCACCCACCAGCTCCCAGGTAAATGCGCCCATTCTCACAGCTTCAATCCCTACCACTTATATGCTGAAGATTCCCAAGTTCCTGTTCCTAGCTGCAGTCTCTCCTTTGAGCTCGACTCACACCCACCTGCCTACATGACTGCTATAGTCTGATATCTCACACCTCATCTCCGACTGTCCCCAGCTGAGCTCTCAATTTTCTTCCCATCTTTTCTATCTTAGAATATGGCACCACCATCTATCTACCCAGCTGCTTAAGCTGAACACCTAGGAATCATCCAAGCTTTGTCTCTTTTCCTCAACCCACATCCAGCTGGTCTGTAAGTCATAATTAGTCTGCCTCTAAGATATATTTTTAATCCACCCATCTCTCCCCACTGCCATCGGTATCACCCTAGACTGAGCTGCTGGTCTCTCTTTCACTACTTGAACAGTCTTCCTACCTCTGCCTCTGCTCCTCCAATCCTTTCCTCAGGTGACAGCCAAAGTGAACTCTTAAAATGGAAACCAGAGCAAGTAACTTACATGTTTGTTTTTTTACTTCAGAAGGCAGAGGAAGAGAGAGATAGAAACGTCAATGATAAGAGAAAATCACTGATCTGCTGGGCCTCCGGCACTCCCCACACTGGGGATCGAGCCCACAACCCGGGCATGTGCCTTGACTGGGAATTGAACCATGACCTCCAGGTTCATAGGTCAATGCTCAACCACTGAGCCATGCCAGCTGGGCAAGTAATTTACTTCTTAATGCCCTTGAAGTTTACCATTGAACTCAGAATACAATCCAAATTCTTTACTTACAAGTTCCTAATTATCCTACTAATCTTACTTTATATATAAATAGAGTGTATTTTATAATCATAATCTAATTATCAATCTCATTTTAACTTTATACCACTCTTCTCAACACTGTGTTCTAGCCACACTGGGCTCCCTTCACTCGTTCAAAATAACAAGTCATTTCTCCCACCACGGCGCTCCTCTAGCTGCCTCTCCACATATGGCTCCTTATTCTTCAGTCCTCAGCTCCTCAGAAAGGCCTTCACAATACACTTCATCACAGCTTCTAAAATCCTCCCTCCCTCTCTCCCTGCCCCAATGGCCTTACTGTTTGCTGTTAAATACTGATCACAATGTTTAATTACTTAATTCTTCTCCCCCACTAAGTCTGTGAGTCCCATGAGAAGAAATGTGTTAGCATTGTGCCTAAGAGGAGTTTTATTCTGACTTCCAATCAATATCTGAGTATTGCACAGAAAACTACTTCTACTACAATAAAAATTTACTCTTGTCATGAAATGTAAGGCTTTTCAGAAGCTTAAAATAGACTCAAAATGCTTCAGCAATGTCTGCTTATCAACGAGAAACTAAAATGTCATTTCAGGTCTTACGTTATGGATAAATTAAATCAAAGAAGCTTTCAGATAATGACGGGAAGAGGAAAAAAATGCATATTCACCGATCCCTTTGTGAGGGTCAGGGGGACAGGAGACAAACTTCAGCACTTCCGCTCGCTTCTCTCTCAGACCCCAGCGATAGAGGATTTCTCCATAGCATTTCTTAAAGTCATCAAACTGCTGGGTATTAGCAGGATCCAGGAGCCTGGAAAAAATTCAAAAGATTTCCTGTCAGTTCCTTGCAGAAAAAAATGAGCTTAATACCAAATGGCACTTTATATACCTTTCTTAACGCAAGAGCCCTGCTTCGGGAGAAGCCAAGCACCATGCAGCCACAGCTCGCACTGGGAAGGTCGTTACCTTTTGTTTTTATCATGCTGGTCACGCTCTCGCTCACGAGGATCACTGTAGGTCAGACTCCCGAAGCGGATTTCTTCTGGTGAAGACTCTCCCCAAGGTGAAGATATGTGTTCTATCTCTCTCCCCGCTGAAGAAAACCAAATGGGAAGGGAAGGTGCAAGTCAGAGAAGGCATGGAAAATATCTAAAAACTCTCATAAATTCCCCAGAAGAAAAAGAAGCTAAGTTGAAGATCCTGAGAAATATAATTAAACAGAACTCTTTCCTAGCCTTACCTTTTTGTCTTGGTGCTACTTAGTAGCCTCATAAGTACACATATAACGATTAAGCAAACTATAGTATAGTGATATAGTAGCATATTAGGCAGTCATTACTTATAATGACTTTTTTAATGACATGAGAAAAGCTCATGATGAGATTAAAAGCAGAACTCAAAATCACACATACAGAATGACCCCTCCTACACCCCACGTACACAAAGATTGGAAGAAAATTTTCTGGAATGTTAACAGATGTTATTTCTAGGTGGGGCAATCAATGATTACTATTTTCTACTGCAATACTTCGTTTTTTCTTCACTATGCATGTATTACTTTTATAATCAAGAAACTTAAGATAATCTTTTAAAAGAAATTTAAAAAACCCAGAAACCACAAATACACATCAAATAGGTCTTTATGGCCAGCTGGAATCGGGCTCAGTGTTATTCTCTGCATTGAAGAGGACACAGCAGGAAGTGGCAGATGACCGGGCACGTGTGATGGAGGAAGGACAGGGCTATGTTTTGAGCGTGGACACTGGGAAGTCTCCCTGTCAGCTTCTCAAGGTCATGGGATGTAAAGCAACCCAGCAAGGCACAAAGCCCTCCCAGAAACTGGCCTGTTCAAACATGAGGTCCAGGCCTTGCTGACTACAGTATCGCCATCATAGAAAAGATAAAGAAAAATGAGAAACAAAAGAAAACAGAGACTATTCATCAACTAAAGATTACATGTTATTAACAATTCACACGCAGCTCTTAGAGAACTAAACATCCAGCGTGGGCTAAGTCAGGTTTGTACCAACCTATGTTCCAGCCACCAGTGTTGAGCCCTGGGTCTGACATGCTCGAGCAGGAACCAGAGGAGGTGAAGCTGGGCTGCAGAACAAACAGGAGCGGCATCAGAACACCACCCCCCATGAAGGTTTACCTTTAGGAAACGCCAGATACAAACCAGAAAACCATAAGCTTACATATCGACTATGGGACACCACCAGATTAGAAGAACGACTGGGAAAAGGCCCAAAAGGGTTTGGTATCCCCTGAGGCCGGGACTGGGCTTCGAATACACTGCAGAGCATGGCCAGCGTCTGCACATCCCGGAGCTGGCAGTAATGAGCCAACCTGGAGAGGAAGAGGTGAGAGGAGAGAAAACAAGTCAAGAGGAGAATGGAGGAAGGATGCTAGCACAATCATGGCGGTTGTTGCCATAGGAATAGGGAAGAGAGGATGCTCAATTCCTCCTCAAAAACCCTTGTCAGGTACCAGGGCTTTCTATAGATCCAGAGGCTTGATCTACTTTGAGTTGGGCTAAATCTGCTTTGGAATAAAATATATCAAAGTATTACAGATGACCTAGAATACTAATCTGAAAGCTTCTGGCTGGCACCAGGCACGGGCTCGGACTGGAACAAAGCTTCTCCAAGAACTAAGTAGACTAAATTGACATCTGAGTAAGGCCATCCTTTCAGCCTCCCAACTCCAAGGCAGAACCCTGCTTTCTGAGGGTTCCTCGAAACTTCGTTCACGTAACCTACGGCTATGTGAAGTTGCTTCGAGAACACCCCACCCCACAGTACGGTGAGCAGGCAATCGACTCAGGAGGGGGAATTAGGAAAGTGAGTTCTTAAATAAGAACAACAAGGAATAGCTTCACTTGTAGGTACTCATATCCCCTTTGCCCCTTTTAGGACCACTATGCTAGAATGTGAGGTAGGGACCAGGGGGCTTGGCCTTTGCGATGGAATAATGTTGGTACTTTCCTACCAAGCAATGTCTAATATCTTTTAAGGTGTTTCATGCTCACTCTCTTAAGTGAGCCTTACAGGAAGTGTGTAGAGCAAGCATTATCATCCCTGCGTTACTCTGAGGCAACTCAAGTGTGAGCACATGTTGTCCCAAGTCTGGCCTCAACCAGTAACTAAGCAAACCTTCCCCTGAAAAAAAGCAGACATTTTCTGCTTCTCTCTCAGGACCTGGGCCTCACTGTTACGGAGATCCAAGAGGCTTACCTGGTTGTAAATCATTTTGCATATTTTATTTCCAGTATGCCATATTTCAGGGCAATAAATCAAAACAAATTCAATATTTTCCTAAACTGTCTAACAGTGAAAGCATCATGGCTTCTGGAAGACCGGAAACCCACTGTGCAATTCTTTAACCTGTCCTCAGGGGCAAAGCTCCACAGCACCCACGAAACTGACCATCGCAGGAGCTCAAACTCCTGTGTTCAGACTGACGTGACTTATGGACTTAAGCTTCAAAAGGACTCATGAGTCTCAAGTCCTTGTTAGAGATGACAAATACTGCCTAGTTCCTTCTGCCATAAAAAGTTAGCTGACACAGAAATATTGCAGCACAAAAAGGAGAGCTCTCGCTTCCACCTCTCACGCCTCGGGCCTCTGCACTTTCCTCTTAGACAACAACTTTGAAAGTGTTGACAGACCTAAAGTTTACATCACTCTT